ATAAGTGAAAAGAGAGTAGGTCAAGTATGCCATTTTCTATTTTTGACCACAAAGTGGAAGAGCAAATATTAGTTATAAATCATTATGGAGTTGAAATATACATTTTTCTTACATGACATTTATTATTATTTTTGATGTACATAAAAAATGACCAGAATAATGGACTGTTTTGAATTTAAATGGGGTGGTATATGCGTTGCAACCTGGCATGTGGAGGCTGTACTTAGCTCTGTTCAATTACTGTGTAATTAAAACATGTACAATGAAAAAAAGTTACTTTAATGGTGTGAAACAGTCTTCAGGATGAATTTCCAGAAATATCTGAACAATTGCTATCAAAATTAGCAAAAAATGTTGCTATGGGAATACGAGAAGATGACTAAAAGCATGTTCTCTATGAACTTGCTTGCTTATATGAAATATTTATATTAATTTTTATCATGCACTTATTTGTGCACCTCTCTTCCCTACAAGGTAAGAGATGTGTTTCTCATACGACCAATCAGCCAACCTTGTGCTAAGCTTGTTGCCCAGATTTTAATTCCACATTTTTCCACTCATATTCGTTTTATTTTACCTTCATTTTCTCAGTACTTAGAAAGCCAGGTAGCTCCTTTAACATTTACTTTTACACTTTAACATGCACTTTTCTAAATACACCAGAATTCAGATTCTTTTTCAGTTAACTTTTAATGGTTCTGGTGTCCAAGTAGTTCAGACTTCCCATTTGGACCATTCCCAGTTTAAACGTTGACTGTAAGACCTGTGGATATATAGTAGTTATTGGATAAAATTTTGTTTTTCATTATGGTAATACTTCTGCCTCTTCAGTGTAATATAAAAAAAACTAATCATGGACGTTCGTGTGAAAAATAAAATGCTTTTTTACTTTTTGTTGACTTTTAAGTAGTGATGATATTTATAATAGCAAAGGGTAAATTATATAATTTCTATATGAGATTGTTATTTTAGGGGTAAATGGAGCAAAGGAGCACAGAGATGTGCTTTAGAACTAGCTATTTGAGTAGATCATGAATTAACTGTACACCTCAAATTGAATATATGAAAATACATGAAAATACAAGTGACATTATGCTACTGTTAGCCACATCAGCACATTTGATCAAGCTATTGCTTCAATCATTTTTATAGCTACAGTTTTTCAAGTGCTTTCTTCTTCAGCCTGACTAGGAAGGTGTTGTTTGGAAAGCTAATGCTGTTAACAGTAAATGATCCATTTTTCAAGCCAGCTAGTTTTGAATTGATGTCATTTGGGGCAGACATCCTTCACAAGGTGGTGCTGTTTCACAGCTATTCTGTCCACCACCAAACCTCCTCACTGTCACATTAATGGACTCAGGAGGACATTTGGAGTCTTGTTGTCTGAGCAAAGCTGAGACCTTTTGATTTAGCACTGTGATAACTGCCTAGTCATTGTAGTTTGTCTTTTTGGCAACTCAACTGCAGATTTGCTATCCCATCATTCAGTGTCCCCACAGCTTTTTCAGCCTGACAGTCTGGGCCTCTTTTAGAACAGAAGAAATGGCACAATGAAGAATTTAGGCCTGGTGTACATTACATGAGGAGAAGGGTGGAGTCTGTCTTCTTTTAACACTTACTTTTAGTTCTTTACTGTTAAAACATTTTAAAGCTCTAAACTGGGAAAAAAAGTAATGCATTGAATTTACTTGACTCAGACTGGTACATAATTTCCACATGAGGAAAGATGTCTCCCCCTCCAACCTATTTTCTCACTTTATCAAATGACGGGGACATATCTTAACTAATTTAGTAAATGCGTGTGATCTAATTAATTCTGAAATTTAATCTAATTAAATCTGAATGACCACATTCCTGGAACTTGTTCCCATGGAAACTTTTTTGGGGTCAGTTGGTTTAATTGTTTGTCAGTGGATAATGGTGATCTATGCCTTTAAGTTGTACAAGAAAGGTTATTACAAATATATCGTCGCTGTTGGAACAAAACCTCCTACCTCCAGAATGGTAACTTTACAGGAGAAGGAAAAAAATGTTAACTCATAATGGAAGATTGAGATTTTTTTTCCAAGTGATTTTAGATCATTTCTTTTAATCTTTTCATCATAACATTTTAACACAATGCAAACTCACTTGAGTTTTCGAATGATGCAAAAAAGTCATATGCATGCAACTGATATAATAACAACAACACATGACTTAATGACAAGGACCTTTCAAATGTTTCTACTTAATGGTCACTTGTGTTTTGTCATAGAATCATTAATAGAATAGTTCAGCAAAAAATCTAATTTACCTAATTTTTCACTCATGCCAGATGTACTCAATAAGCCACTAGAACTCAGTAGACACCTAAATAGCCCAAATTGCTTCTGTAAAAAACAACCCCAAAACTTCTCTCAACCCTCTTAAGCCACATCCCGGTCATCATTAAGGTTGCACAGACTTGCTGATGTGGTTTAGAGCAAAGTATTACTTACTGCGAGCTATAAAAACATTGCTGTTGTCAGAACAAAACTTTGTATCTCCATTTTTGACGTTTTTCAGTTTTTGACATAATTTGAAAATGCCTGTTGCCCCTTACGCTGTGTGTAAATTTCATGATGAATGGACTAACAGAAATGACCCAAAATAACTTGTAAAATTCTGGTTCCATTGATCTAAGTTAAGTAGGTTTTTTCCTTGTCCTGTAAAGTTACCATTTTGGAGATACGAGGTTTTCTTCCAACAGCAGCGATATATTTATGTGGCCGTTTTTCACGAGTGTTTATGATGGCTGTACAGACCCTGGTGTCTAATGTGCCCACAGTTTTGTTAATTTCTATAGTTAACAGTAAGTCATATTGCGTCCTAAACCATATTGACAAATCTGCACAACTATAATGAAGACCTGGATGTGGTTTGAATGGGCTGAGGGAAGCTTTGGTGATGTATTTTAACAGAAACAATTTGGGTGACTATTTAGTTCTAGTGTTTAAAAGCAGTGTTAGCCTTGTTGCTCCAGGTTTTAAATTAAAAAAGCAAAATTGGGATGTTCCTGTCTGGGGTCTAGATCTCGGGTAAATGGAAAAATGTGTATGTTTGATTAAACCAGTGCAAATATTCAGTAAAACTTCACAACAAACTGGTGCAAAATTCACCGGCAGGACTTCTCACCCCAGATTCTTACCCACTATCGGGGCAAGATTTTTTTACAGAATTGTTTACTGTTCCAGATTATTCCCCCTAAACTGTGGCTTATGCATCACTATCCTGTACATACTGAACTCACACAGACATTGTTCTTAAACCCTTAACTGGTGTCACATGACTCTCAAAGTAGGCTAATTATGGTGAAAAAGGATACAGGTTTTCGTGTTATTTTATTTCATACTATTGTTTGCTTCAAATAGTAGATGTGTAGAAGCACACATGCATGCGCTTGTGCGAGTTCATTTGGCTTGTGTCCAAGACTTTCTATAATCCACGGCTCTGCTAAACTCTTAATACCTCACTGGAAAATCTTCTCTGCACGTTGCATTGTGAGAGTTTGAGTGTGTTGCCGGCTTCTAGTATGGATACATGCAAACCCTGGTTGCGAAAAAATCAGATTTATGTAAAAGAGTTCTAGTAAATAGGAATTGCATGTCCACTAGGCACATGAATGTTTCATAAGCAAAGAGATAACTTGTATGACCAATTAGCACAGTCAAAAATGTTAACATTTTTCTCTACTTAGTAGAAGAACAGAAAACCTGCTGACACAAAACACACTTACAATAGAAGCCAATGGGCAGTTTCTGTTTTCTGTACAGCTTTCCTAAGTTCTGGGAAACGTGGTGAAATTACTATCAGGGGAAATCGACTGTAGGGTGCATATGGAGCAGATCTATTCCTTTAAGCTTACTAACAGTTCCCATTGTCACAGCAAGCAATTATGTATGGAAAGAAAAGGGCAGGCTGATATCAGAATATCAGACTTTTCTTTAATGAAATGAAAAGTGTCCTTCATCACACTCAGAATCAGAATAAATTAGCGTCTTGCCTCTTCTGTGTTCAAGAGGTTTGGACTGCATGCAAGGTCAAAGGATGGAGCTCAAGATGCAAGAAACAGTGTGTTAAAGTAAGTTGTTCTCAATCACGGCCTGTGGTCTGTCCCTGATTCAACTCATCAGCTCATTATCAAAGCCCTTCATGAGCTGGGTCTGCTGTGTTAGAGTAGCCAAGCTAAAAACTGAACTATGTGCTGAGAATGTAATTCATATTCGAATATTACTGGGAACCAATGATACAAGCTATGGCCGCTTTATTTACATTTTCATCATCTACACAATCAAGTCAACAGCTTTTATGTGTGGGTTTTTCTCGGTGCAAGAAAGGTGCTGCAAATTCTACTTAACTCTTGAAAAAGTGCCTTCAAAAGCCAGCTTTTAAAACACACACAGGATCCACAATCATGTCTCAAATGTCCATATGAGCACCAAGTTCGGTTCTTAATTCAGGATTTGACTAGAAATGCAATATATATATAGATGTATGCAAAAGTTTGAAATTACACATTTTGTAATTTGTAAAAATAGGTGAACACAGCCTCTACTGACAGCACATCAAATTTTACTGCACAATTTCTATTTATTTGCTAAAATATATAACATAAAAATGTGCGAGCCATTATTTTTGTTTATTATTGTTTACAATATGTTAAATTCAGCAAATAAACAGTGACTGTGCATTAAAATGTGCATTAGTATGTCCTCTGTAGAGGATGTGAACTTATTTTCACCAAAACATGTCAGTTGACCGGGGACACCCAAGCCTTTGCATACGACTATTTTATTAATTTTTATATATCAGGCTGAAAGACTTCTGTTTCAAGTATCAGTATATTTAAAAAAACTGTAATAACTGAACAAGTGAACTGTAAATAATCACCTCATGATCACATTCTCTCTCTCTCTCTCTCTCTCTCTCTCTCTCTCTCCCTCTCTCTCTCTCTCTCTCTCCCTCTCTCTCTCTCTCTCTCTCTCTCTCTCTCTCTCTCTCTCTCTCTCGTTCCCTCCTCCAGCAACAGGTTTGCTTTCTCCGTCCAGTGTCCGGGCGCACAGTAAACTTACTCAAAGAAATTCAAACAGAGCTCAATCTTCTGCAGATATGCTCCGAATAATCCGTGATCACGCGAGGAAGCACCCCGGAGTAAGTAACTTTTTTCTAAGTTTTACACTGATTTTGTAAAGAACTTCGTTTTGCAGTTCTTTAAAACGCAAAATAAACAACGATTCGTTCATATGCTGTTTTTATGTCATTCATATGCCATTTTTCATGCACAGTTTCGGTGCTTCACTGTTGATTACGCTGATGTGGCATAAAAAATGTAAACAGCCACCACCAGGCTGTCTTTTAAAAGTCAGTGTTCTCCTCCCATGGAAAAGACCATCTAAACAAGAAACTGAGTGTGATCTCAAATTAGTCCATCCTTGACTTTTACGACTTTTACATAAATAAAAAAATATCAATGAGGGAAGATAGGAGCTTACACGGGATATCTGTGCAGCTGTAAAAACAAACACATACAGACTGGAGTCTCCGTTCCGATTGAAATCATAGTAATTACTGCCTGTTATGACGTGTTTCTGCCGCCTGCTACTAGAAGAAACACAAAAACACCACAGAAGACTTCACTGTGAGATTAATCTTGGACTTGAACTGGATGACTACAGTCTTATCTTTCTGCTCACAAACGGTGTTGTTGTTCATGCTGAGCAATATACCAAATGTCGATGTTCAGCGTGCAAGTAGTTTCGTCCGAATTCGGTTCTATTAGCAGCACTGAAGAGCGTAAATTCGGTTCACAAGTTACAGTTTCAAAATGAAATATTTCACCGCAAATAGCTCCGACTACACACAAAAGACTACAATACCCATAATGCACTGCGTTCACAGGGGGAGAAGAGAGGAGAGAGTTACAGCTGAGAGGAATGAGACGAAGGTTGCTCTAAAACACAGATTACACACACTACACTAAATAAACGAATCATTTTTTCCTAGTTTGAATGCAGAACCATGCTGTAGACCATCTTGCACGAAGTTTCCTGACCACTTGATGGTTATAGTGATCGTTAGTTTCAAAATCTTCCGTCAAAATAACGTTAGTCGCTATTTTATGGTATCAAATACAATATTTACCAAGTATTATTTTCCATTTATTATCAAAATCGGAACAAAAATGTCGACTGTTTAAATATGATATCGACAAAAGTCTGTTCAATGAATGACATTATTTCAGTTTAGATTCGGTGTTAGAGTTGTAGTTTCAAAAGTGAGATATTTGAACGCAATAAGCTCTGACTACGCGTTACAAAAACTGTACTACCCATGATCCTCTGCGTTCACAACTCTCGACGGGCAAGAAGAGAGAAGAAAACAGGGCAACCAGTGAAGGAAGAGTTTACAGCAAAAGGGAACGAGATGGAGGCCGCTCTCAAATCAGACTGTCACAGAAACACTAAACGAAAGTGTTCTCAAGCATTGTTCCCTATTTCAAATCTAGAACCTAGTTCTAACAAATAAATCGCTCAGCTCTAATAAAATTGCTTTCAGCACTTGGACAGCGCCCAGTATCAACAGCGACCGAGCAGTTAGCTAGAGCAACCATTTTACGAAACCTTCTAGAAAAACTTCGCCTTTCTTACTGAACTGCATGTGCGGTCACTAACGGCCTGTGGGAGATCTAGTGCGACCTGACGGCAGAGATTGTAATCTAACTTAATCTAATCTTCCATAATCTCGTCTAATAGCCTCTCTAATTTGGTACCTCAAAGCCAGATGTTCAGAAGAGAGGGCAATTCTAAAACACTGTAACAGCCGAGGAACACATTTGTATCATGTTAATAATCTCTCTCTCTCTCTCTCTCTCTCTCTCTCTCTCTCTCTCTCTCTCTCTCTCTCTCTCTCATACTCCAGCTCATTCCACAGTTTTTCTTCATATGTCTCGGGATGGGAGGAGCCACACTGTATCTGATACGTCTAGCCAGGGGACCCCATGTTACGTAAGAGCCACACACTGCATTTCACTCCCATCAGATAAATGTGAGGAAATATAAAATAGATAAACAGTCCTGCAATAAAAAGAAATCCAATGCTGTTAGCTTATCAGCAGCTCTTTTGTGCATCTTCACAAAGCGATCCACTGTTTTGTTAATTCTATTAAATTCTCTTTTGTCCTGTGGCTCCCTTGATGTGTCGTGGCCTGGTTCTCCTGCTCCTAAATCACTAGCTGGAACAAGACCAGCAACCCTGAGCCCTGGAATCAGCTTAGCCCAACTTATCAGTACAAGGTATGTGTGCCAACTGGGGCCTTCACATTAGCCTAGAAACTAACAATAGCGTTCAGAAAAAAATAGTAACAATAAAGAAGTTTCTCTAGTTTTGTAGATATTATGGTCAAGTTCACAGAACTGTGCAGAAGTCAGAGATTTTATTTAATTTCCAGTCAAAACAGACAATAGGTACAATTGATTCATTTTTCAGGAGATTTATTTTTAGAAGATAAGATGTAAAGTAATCCACTTGCATAATTTTGGGGAAAGTCAAATGAAAATAAACAAAAAAGCAAGAGTTTTCAGTACTGGTGTTCACAACATTATTAAAGATATGGAAAAAATGGGGCTCTGAACAAATGTGCAAGACCTGATAGACCACCAAAACTGTCACCATCAGACACACAGTACTTTCATCTAAAGATATAGGAGAAAATCAAGCTCTACTCTTGCTTCAGACCTGGAAAAATCCACAAATGTTTCTGTCCATCCTTCCACTCAACGCTGTGGGTTTGAAAGATTGTGTAGCTGTCAAGAGGCCAAACAAAGAAGCTGCTGGGGCCCTCAGAATAATGAACTGGCCACCCTAGAGCCCAGACCTTACCACCATTGAACAGGGCTGGACTGGGACTTTTTTCAGACCAGGAGTTACATGATGCAGACCAGCCAACCCAAAACTCTAACTATGTTTCTCCTGCTACACACACACTTCGTCCAAGGCAAGGAGTGGACACACTAAATACTGAAAATGTTAGTATTATATTATTAGTAGTAGTTAAGGCTTTATGAATTTCTGTCAAATAAATGTTTTCTGCTTTTTTCTGACATTGAAAAATGAATAATCTGTCTCAATGGCTGTTTTAACCAGAAAATAAACAAATGATCGGTCTTTGGTTTCTGACTTTTGTACAGTACTGTATATATTTAACAGAATTAAAGGAATATTTCAGTGTTTTTCAACATAATCTCTTATCTGCTACATCTATAGCTTATGGTCGGTTACCACAGACAAACATTTAAACAGAAACTGTACTTGTACTTGGCGAAGAGGAGCTTAATTAATAGCATCTTTACAAACACTGAAGTTCCTAAAGCCTGAGTAGGCTGATAAACCAATGTGATGCTAAATTATTAATCTCAGCATTACTGCGCTCTTTCGAGCAATGATCAACTGAATAATCTCAGTAGTAGACATGTTTGCAAGTGATGAGTTTAGCATCTGTGTTGTACTAGACTCCTGCTCTGAGAATTCTTCATAAAAGAAACAGAATAATTACATAAAGAAAACTGTTTAGGACAGTGTATTCAGTAGTCAGGAAAACTACTTTTTCAACGTATTTTGCCCAACCCATTAAATCATTAATGATCTGAGATAAAATGGAACTAATTCTCCTTCTGTTTCTTGCCCTTAGTTTGTGGCTGTCAACACAGACTACAAGACCCTAAAGAAGGAGGGGCCTGACTTCTAAAACTCCAAATATGCTGGTATTCTTAATTTCTGGTACAACTGTGCGTGCCTCACTGATTTACAGTTAAGCTTGAAACAAAGCTTAACGTAGCAGTGGAGAACATTTACTTCTAATCTGTGTACCTAATGTGAAAGAGTTAGTGTTTGATCCTGCTGGGGTGGGTGAATGGACTGCTACTGGATACAGTTTGGATTGATTGCTGTGCATTATGATTTGCTAGGACTGATGGTGGAACTAATGAATGATGAGTGGTTAGTTTTAGACACCTGTAAGAGGACAATGCTTATATTTTGGTCAACAATTATATGTTTTCCTTGCCAAATAATAACTGCAGGTAAACATTTGAAAGGTTTTTAGGTCAATCTAAGGATGAACATTGTCTTTATAAAGCAGAATAAGGAGGATATCTGCTTCCAAAAGATGTGAAACCAAAGCTGCATTATGTAAGAGCCTGAAATAATAATTTTAAGGTCAGGGATGTCGGGTTAAATTTCACAGGAGTTTTTCGGACCACATGATATGTCTTTACATATTGACATCACACGCACATGCTCGAAAAGAATGTTTAGGTCTAAATGCGAAATCAACACTATACTGATGAGTATATCATTCAGACACGTCACCAAGTTTTGACCAAATTCTCTTTGAATACTCTTTCAAAACGCTTGCAATCATCAGATTCACCTGCTCAGGGAAGGGGACCGAAGCACAACTGATTTCGCAAAATGTTCTGTGAGTTGCGTGCAGTTAACACATTTCCATCAGAGAGGTCAAGTCAAATCCCGAAATCTTACACAGCACAGCTTTAATGTTTCTCCAAAACTGTCCAGTTTTTTAGTGACGTAATATTTAGATTTGTGTAGCCATATGGCCATGACTCAAAATCCTTATCTTAACCATTAATCAGTGATTAAGATAAGCACATATGAGAGCAGGTTCTGCACAGAATCAACAAGGCATAACTCTCCTACTTACTGACAAGCTCTGTTCTCTTCAGAGAGCTGTTGAAGCATCTTTTTGTGCACAGAACGGAAGTGCAGTTCCCTTTGCTGGCAGTAAAGATGTCTGAGGAGAAAGTCTGTTAACAGAATATTTTATTTGCTCTATTTAGATATTTGCTATGAACAAAATGTCAAACAAACGGAAGACAAGACTATTTTCCAAAATGTCTTGTTTAAGGGTAGATGAATAGGTGTGTGATGCTGAATCTTAATCATACTTCATAAAATTGTACTTGCAGTGATTTCTGCAAGGACAGAACAGATTGTTTTACTAGATGGTCCACTTTCATAAACATAGCCATGTGAACAGGCTATTTAAATACAATGATAATATCTCACTGATGAGCTGAAAGTACTTCTGGTTAGAGAGAGGAACTGCTGTGCTATTCATGCACCAAGGGGGATCGAACACTAACCATTTGGAACGATATACAAGTTGTTACCAACATGGAGAGTAGATTAAGTGACTTTTTTTATTTTGTCTAAGTGTTGAAAATATTAAACAAGTATATTGAGATATTGTACATTCTCCTTTTTTACTGTTTCTCTCTGGGTTTACCATGCATGTGTATGCGCAAATTTTATCTGCTGTCTTCTGTCTCTTGTTGTGGATGTGATAAGGTTTGTCACTCCACCCTAATAAAGTGTAAAGTGCATATATGTTGTTTCTATGTGAATGTTTTTCTGTACTGTCTTGATTAGGAGTGGCTGTGTGTGGAGCTGTTTATTTCCCTCAGGGAAAATCCCAGTGCAAAGATAAGATCTGTTTATGCCTTTTATCTCTGAGGAACACATGTGTGTCGTGTGATGATGGATGTGTGTATTTTCTCCTTGTTAGTGCTGATCAGACGGGCAGCTGTATGCTGATGTTACTGGCGAGACGTGACTGTATGTCAGGCACAAAGCACCATTCAGGCTATTGTATCACAAATGCACACTTAACCTTTTTATGTGAAGTAACACTGGCACTGGCATAGAGTCAGACACGGAGCACTGCCTTCAATCAGAGATTTAGTTTTCTGCAATATTTGTTTGAAAGAAAAGCCATTGAGAACTTTTTTAAGAGAGAAAATGGACTGCCAACATTGTTTAAAGGCTTACATACAGTGCTCAAAATTAGTCTTGGGATATTCTCTGAATGTAATTTATGCATTGCTTGTTCATTCATTTCCAAGCTAAAGTTATTATTTACTCATTTGTATTCATCAAGAAAACAACCAGGAGTAATGACTCGGTTTACTAACTGAAACTCTAAATTGTCACTGCAATTAATTGAAAACTTAGAAAAGGTAGCAAAAAATACTCAAATATTAGTGTCTCTTTCCTTTTTTGTAGGTATTCAGTGTTTTATTTAGGTTAGTATTGTGTTGCATATTGCCTCTTTTGGATGACAGCTTGAAGTTGAAAGCATCAAATGCATGAGTTTGCAATATATTTCAGAATGTTATTGACCTTTTGAGTCAGATGTGTTGAACGGTGGATATGCACAAGTAGTATTAAACATGTTTGGTTTGACCATGTGCATTTTGATTAGTGTCCCAAACTTTTTTTTCAGTGTAAAAGGGGGTTAGTTGAAGGTTTTCTAGTTTGCTATTGTGCAGGACCAAAAGGATTTGTAAGTGATAATATAGCTCATATTTTGTATGTGTGAATATGTTAATGTAAAATTTCCATTAAACATTAACAAAAAGAAATAAACAAAAGACTACTTTTGAGCACTGTTTATACAAATATGGGGGAAAAATTCAGGCACCGCTCACCATATTAATAGTCTTACTGTCACGAAACCATTAAACAAACATAACTTGCTAAATTAATGTGGACCATTAATGTGGTGAGTCCATTATAAGGCCTACAGTGGTGACACCACTCTAGCTCATTTCATGGAAAACCAAAGTGTTCTGGCATTTTTAAACTAAAAGAGTTTGATGTAGTATGTAAACATTTTTTAAAGTAAACCCTGAGGGCCTTCTAATGCCTAATGCCTGCTGTGAAAAAAATGTCTTTAAGTTGTAGTTCTTAATTTAACATGATCATCATTTTATTTCCAGTTTTAGTTTGAAACAAGGGGGTTCAAAGGGTTAAAAAATGAAAAATTATCCAAACAATTATTTTTTTCTGTGGTTTCGAAGTACTTACAGTTAAGATAGTTCTGCCATTGGTTAGGACTTAAGGAGCTGAACAGAAGGCGTAACGTGTCAGATTAACATAATAATAATATAATTAATAACATAATTAGGAACTGACAGTGGAATCAACCAATCACATAATGATTTATAATTTTTCTTGAAAGAAACATAACTCTAGGCTTTCTGTGAGCCCTAGATGCATCACTGGTTGCAAGCACGAGTGTTAGCCTGATCGGTGCAACCAGTTGTTAGAAATGGAAAATGACTCTTTATTTTCCAAATGAGTCATTATAAAACTCCTATATACAAGATAAAATATATGTCACGAGCAAAACATGGAATTTCTTCTTTTACAAGCTTTAAATGTTCAGGTTTTATCTAGAATGGGCAAAAAGTGTTCATTAGATTAGTGCTAACATACTACTAGGATGAAATAGGGGCACTAGCAGAAATTAGCATTATCATAGAGGTGACATTTTTTGGGGACATTTCACTTATACTAACTTACATTACACCCATGGGCTAACAAGAGGCTTGATGTCTATTGCAATGTTGACAAGCACACTATTGCCACCTATTTTGAGCTCCACCTTCACAAAGCATTGGACGGCTTTAGAAACTTGTGTTTGTACTCTAATGCATCTGTTTTTCCACCCGAAAATTTCTCAACATTCTTGTTGTATGATCACATCTGGCCCTCGAGACTGCCAAGAAAACTGTTCATTCTGAATTCATTGTTTTTGTGATCTTACAAAAAACAATGTTTTTTTTAAATATCCATCTATTCAGATTACATCAGTTTAGCTCCACTCATTCATACTAAAGCCATAAGAAGTGTTTTGTTCTGATATAATACAGTGCAACCAATCAGAACAGAGGCCTTACATGTTACACGTTGACCTTATAGGCACAGCCTGTTCAATTCTAATGAATAAAGAGATGTTGGATAATAGTCATATAAAAATTTATAGTGACTGTTTTTGATATATAAACCAACAGAAACATCATGAGTGCATCTCAGAGGAAAAGAAAAGATATGGTCCCTTCTGACGTTTAGCAAATTATGTTAATACTGCCCACAAAACACAAAACTAAAAAGGTTGACTTTCTCAAAGTTGAGTTGAACTACTACTGCCTTTAAGTTATGTAAGACTTCCTCCAGCTGGCAGAAGGTCTGCACTGTTAGTTCAGCCTGCAGGTTGCTGTTCAATGGAGCTTTTTGTTACAAAACTGAAGTCGGTGGAAAAAGTGAGGGGAAAAGAGGAAAACAGGACCCACGACACCAATTCAATTTCACTGCATGGCCCAGTGGCTTTCACTGAATGCTTCTGAGTGAATCTACTGCCTATTAACTGAGCATAAGTTCAATATATGGATTGTATACAAGGTTAATCGATTATATCCCAGTTCATTTCAGCTTGAAGACATTTTCTATTTAAACAGGCCACCAAAGTTGTATGGCCTTCCTCATGGGGTGGGTCATTCACTGTAGAAACACATTGGGGAAAACAGCAAATAAACTTCCATTCTATCTTTTCTAGCTGTAGAATTCAAAGGAAACCACTTCAAGAGGGACTTTGTGTTGCGGACAAAGTGGCCTCCCTGGGTTTGCACTGTAAACACATAGGTCGTGAGAAAGGGAGAGAGGGAGCAGTGGAGAGAGAAACAGATGTTTATTTCTCCATCCACAGAGTTGAAAGTTTGACTTTGTCCCGAGTCTGCTTATAGCTCGACCCTGCTAAGTGAGTGTGCACAGAAGTGCATGCACACATGCACGCGTTCAAGCTTAAAGCTGCTATTTCTCATTTTTCCATTCTACCCCTTGTACTATGCTTCTAAATCTCATTTATTCTCACTGCTCTCAAGGAAAGGAAATGGTTCCAAGGCACACAGGAAATGTGCAGAGTTCAATGTTTACATTGTAATCTCAGAGACCCCGTCCATCTGTGACTGTATTTCGGAATGCAAATCCATTTAAGCTTTTCTCTGTCTGTGACAAATTTCTATGAGCCTGTAAGCTTTGTAAGGTGGTATACAACAGTGATTATTTGGTTGGATTTTGTGGGCATTGAAAAAAATAAAGCTGTTGTGTCCTACATGCACAAAAAATGTACAAAATGAAAAAAATCCTTAAAAACAGAACTTACATAACAGCCATTTCCTTTACTTGTTTATTTAGGACCACCTCATTTCGCTTGAGCCTTTTTTAATGTACTTTTGAGAAAAAAGTCTTGTTATGAAACATTCAGTCTACACATGCCTTCAATTAGCTCATTAGAGTGAAATGTAATGATAAACATTATGCATACATAGAAACACGCACTGTATATCTAGACATGTTAGCACACTCTGAAAATCAGAACCAGCTGGTACAGATCAGATTTCTTCTCCACGGAAAGACGATAGCTGCTTCTTTGTGCGCTTTGCCTCGAGCAGGCAAAAGTGGGAGGCTTTTTTTTTACCTGCGGTGCCTCAAGAGGCATGAAAAAACAACCAGCAGCGTCCACAGACTTTCCTTTACTGAAGTAAACAGACTGAGGTTGGCTTCACTCTACCTTTCCTTAAGTATATCTGAATGTCTTCTCTGAGCTTTTCTGAGCTTCCAGTCAAAACAACCAGTAAGTGCAAGTTATTTGTTTATCAGGAGATATTTCTGTGGAGATTATATATATGATATACTGCACTTGCATAGAAAAGTGGAAAGTCAAAAGAAAATAAGTAGAAAATCAGGAGTAAAAAAAATGTAACCCCTTAAAATCCCAGGCTTATTACATACAAAGGCATATTATTCAGTAAGTACAGGGACTTCAATGCAAACTGGCTGAGCTATTCTCAGGTTATAGAATTGTGTAAAACCTTGGGCCTGCCAATAGGCCTTGGCCATTTAAAAGGTTAAAAGATGTAGAGAAAAAGGGACTTCTAACAACTGTGCCAGACCTAGTAGACTATCAAAACTGTCCCCATTAGATAAAGCTTTCATCTTTGAGAGAGAGGAGAAAATCAGGTTCCACTCTTGCTTCAGATCTAAAAAAACACTAAACACTGTTATTGATTCTATATTACATTTAGTTGTTTAGCTTCTGAGTAATTTCCTGTAAAATATATGATCCTTATCCTTTTTTCTGTCCCTATAAAATGAATAACTTAAATAATTGCAGGGTTGCGTCTGAATTTTCTACAGCATTGCAGATTGATTAATATTTGTGAAGTCAAAGCACTTTCTAGCTAACTTTCTGCTTTAAACTCCTCAGTGTCACTGCTGGACTGAGAATAGTCCACCAACCAAAAATATCAAGCCAACAACAGCATCCTGTGACCACTGATAAAAGACTAGAGGACAACCAACAGTCCATATATGGAAGCTAAGGAGCAAAAACAGCCCATTTTGAATTCATCATGGTTATGATGTCACAACTGTGAACACATTTACATATGACCACCCATTTATGGTTAATTAATAAGAAGTATTCTCACTGCAGACAGTCTGTAGCAGAGATGGAGCAGATAGTGTTTGGAGGGGGGCAGTTAAAT